CGTCCCTCTCGCTGAAGGCCCACTGAGGCCCACTGAGGGGCACAGCACCAGTAGTTCACGCCTGTCATGCTAGCGAGTCAGGAGACTGAAATCTGAGATCGAGGTTCGAAGCCAGCCTAGGCAGGGAAGTCCATGAGATGGTTACCTCCTGAGAACCAGCAAGAAGCTGCAAGTGGCTCAGGTGGTAGAACACCAGCTACATGAGGGTGTGAATCCCTGAGTTCAAACTCCAGTACCAGAGCACACGTGCACATATACATACACACACAAGCTGATGCTGGCTTTTTTTTTCCTTGAGTCCTGTTTTCGTACTTACTGCTTTCTTTGGGGGGAGGAAGAGAAAATGGAATGGGCTGATAAAGAGCTCTGTGGTTTTGTGCAAAATCAGCAAGGCTCTGGGCACGCAGGCCTGGCACGCAGGCCCTGTTGACTCCATTTCACTCAGTTGTGTGGTTACGTCGCCCCCTCCCTGTCACCTTCCACCTCCATCTGCTCCCTAAAATCGCCTCACCGGCTCTGAGTCAGTGAACCCTATGGCCACACTCAACCGGAGGTCAAGCCTCTCCCCCTCATGTCCAAGGACACCCCGCACCAATGTGTACAAATACAGGTCTCCACGGGCCATAGGAGACATAGACAAGATGAAGAGATGACGTGGACAGTCAGATCCACGTGTCTGACACTCTGCACCAGGACTGACATCAGGTAGAAAGGAGTGGGGCTGAGTGCACACACCTCAGTGGAATCTTCCAGGGCAGAGGGAGGGGGGTAGGAAAAGCCAGGTGTTGGTGCTCACACCCATAGTCACAGCTATTCAGGAGGCCGAGATCCCAGGATGGCAGTTCCAAGTCAGCCCAAGCAGGAAAGCCCACGAGACTCTTATCTCCAACAAACCACCGGAAAACCAGAAGTGGCGCTGTGGCTCAGGTGGTAGAGCGCTAGCCTTGAGCTGAAGAGCTGAGGGACAGCGCCCAGGCCCTGAGTTCAAGCCCCAGGATTGGCAGGTGTGTGTGCACGCATACACACACACAGACACATGAATGTAGCTCCTCCCTCTTGGTTCTGGCCTAGAGGAGTTGCAAACGGATCGCAGGAACGGCCGGGTACATGTGCTGCCTTCTTCTTCTCAGCTGTGTGCTGTGGATGCAGCTTCCCAGTCAGAGCCCCTAGGTCTGCTTTATGAAAGGTAGCAGTCTGGATGGAGGCGCTCCCCACAAACACCGATGCTTCCTCATGGCAAGTGTGCCTCCCAGGTGTGCAGAGCAGTGGCCATGAGCAACAGAAAATGAGCCCCTGACCTGACCTCAGTGTTTGGAGTTCCTCCCTCAAGTTAGGCTGTAAGTAACCTTCGCCCAGCTCTGCTTCCCTTTAACTCTGGCTTTGTGCACGTGTTGCTGCTTGGCCTGACTCCCCGAGAGGCTCAGGGAAGGGTGATCTGGCTCTGGTGTTTCTGGAAGCACGGGGCGTTTTTGTGTGCTGTTTTCCCGTTTCCCGGCAGGTGCCCCGTCCGTGGCTGCAGGCGCCCCCGCGTGCGGATCCTGTCAGCTGGCTTCAGGAGCCAGTGTGGGCCCCCCCCTCCTTGCCCGTGTCACTGGCCCAAACCATCCTGAGCAAGGCCACGCTTGACAGCAGTGACCACGGACCCGGCCTGAGCTTCATTCTGCTCGGGAGGTCTTCATTTCTTTTGGCACTGGTTATTTGAGATAGGGACTCACTTCCTGCCCGGGTCCTGCCGGGACCCCAGCCCGGTGCATCACCACACCCATCTTCTTCCTCTGGGATGGGGTCTCACGCCCTCTGGTGCGCAGACCGGCCTCAAACCCCGATGCTGCGCCCCGGCCCGCGGCTGGGATCCTAGCACGCGCCCCCGTGCCCGGGGGCTCCTGCCCTGCTTGTGCCCTTCACAGGAATGCCTTTGCATGAATGCAGCACCACCACCTCCGCTGAATGAAGACGTGTCCGGAAGGAGGCTCCGCGGTGCCCTTGGCCGGCGGCTGGCGCCCGCCCGGGCCCCCCTGCGGCGGCCTGCGGTGGAGACGCCCGCACGCCGGTGCCGCAGCGCCCCCTGGCGTCGCTGCCTGGGGCGTCCCAGCATCCCGCCTCCCTGCGCAGAGCCCGACTGGCCTGGGCCATCCCCCCCCCCCCACACACACACACATCCCCAAAATGAACGGGCGTGGCCCCTCTCCTGTTAGGAAGGATAGGAGCTCCACTTTTACTCACACCTGAAGTTTTTAGGGGCTCCTAAAGAGCCCTGTGAAAACCATTCTTTTTTTTTTTTATGAAGTAGCTTTCTTGAGATTCCTGCAATTCAGGCCATCTAGTCCCTTTTTTTTTTTTTTAATGAAAAAAAATGTGATTTTTTTTTTCCCAAGGAAGTTACTCTGATGCCTAGTAAAGAAAATATTGGATACGGGAAGGGGAAGTGGGGGAGGGGGGGAACTTGGCAATAAGAACCTGTCCATTTGTTCTGGAAAGAGTGACTTATTTTCTGAAATCACTTTTGGGCTAGAAATTTATCATCCGAAGTCAGGTCATTTTGAGGTTTTTTTTTTATTTTTTTTTAAATCTACAGGAGTCAACTTATTAATATTTGAAAAATGGCTACTATGCAGCACATAGCGTAATATAATACTCCTACCTAAATTAACATCATCGCATGCTCCATAATAAAGATTTATGAGAGACCCATCACGTGAAATCCTATTATGGAAATCTCCATAAGTCTGTGTTTGGATTGTAACAAGCTTCATGCTTATGAACCAATTAAGAGCTCCAGATTCCCCCCCCCTTTCTTTTCCACTCCAGTCTTCTCTCGTTTTCATTTACCCTTCAAAGAGATTGACCCATTATTTTTCAGCCTGTCTGTGTCTTAGAAAGCCAAGAGATAAGAATGTACCGCCCACGCGGGCTGAGGGCGTAGGCAAGGCACTTTCCTACAGAGCGTTCAAAATGGACCAGGCAATTTATCATTTCTTCTCTGTAAATCACTTGCATCCTTTATCGCAAGTTGATCTGTGGAGCTAAACATAAATTCTTGTTGTAGGATCCATGTTCTTATCTGCTCTCAGCTCTGGAGGTCCTTATAAAAATGCAGATGTCTGTGCCCCCAAGGGCTTCTAGGTAAAATTAGAATATCACAATTATATCTCCTCTGCTTCCCGTGTTAAACTACCAAGTGGTGAATTCTTTGTGGTGCAGACTGACTTAGTGAAAGCTACCAATGTGGCCTCACCGCTGTCTTCTAGCTGAGCGTGGCCTCGTGAGCACCGCCCTCAAATGGTTGGAGCTGACCCAGGCTGGAAGGCTGACCCTTAGATGTCACTCTCATTAACTGTCCTCTCTCATACTGTGATCAGGGAGTGCTGTAGGTAGCTCAGGCTCTTTGCCTAAAAAAATATGAACAAGTAGGGTGCCAGTGGTTCACACCTGTCATCCCAGCTACTCAAGAGACAGATCTGAGGATCACAGTTTGAAGCCAGACTTCGAAATGCAGAAAAATCCATGAGACTCTTATCTCGAATGAACCACCAGAAAACCCAGAATGCTAGCTTTGAGCAAAGAAAAGCTCAGGGAGAGCGCCCAGGCCCTGGGTTCAAGCCCCATGACCAACAATTTTTTTTTTGTCAGTCTTGGGGCTTGAAGGCTGGGCCTGGGCGCTGTCCCTCAGCTCTTTAGCTCAAAGCGAGCGCTCTACCACTTGAGCCACAGCACCACTTCCAGTTTTCTGGTGGTTTACTAGAGATAAGAATCTCATGGACTTTCCTGCCCGGGCTAGGATTACAGGCATGAGCCACCGGTGCCAGGCTGGGTGGGGGGGGGGGGGGGGTGGGGGGGTGTGGGTGTGTATGTGTGTGTGTAGAGCATATACAGTTGCATCATTTTCAAATCTGTGAATTGTCTGGCCTCGTAGCATAGAGAAGCACTAGCCTGTGCATTTTGCCCACCTCATCCATCTCTCCTTCTCTGACATGGGGTAGGGCCTCAGGCTGTTAGCCGGCTTGCTTTGGGCTTTTGCCTGGGAGTTCGTCCTGGCGGTATTGCTTATCTGTTGTTGTTGAGACAGGCCTGCTGCGTAGCTCAGGCTGACCTGGAGTCTTAGGATGCTCCTGTCTCAGCCTCCCGAGGGCTGGGATTGCACACTGCACCACCATTCCTGGCCTCCCTATTCCTCCATATTCCTTTATTAGGAATTACTCCAGGATTTGGTATGCTTTGAATCTGGAGAATGAGGCTCAGAGAAATTCAGTGAACATGGCCAGGGCATATGAAGTTGTTGGCGAGGCTAAATCTCAGCACCTGAAGTCCCGGGTGTGCGTCCTCTCGCGATGTGCTGGCTGGGCTTCTAACTCTCCATCTCATTCAGCTGAAGACTGAGGAGGGCCCTGAACGCCCACTCCAGCGGGCAGTGCAATACTGCAAATTACTTAAATAGCCAATGAGGTTAACTGTGCCGTGTGCAGGTCTGACTCCTGTGCAGCTAAATTATGGCCAGTGTAGCATTTTAATAGCTGATGATGCCACAGTGTGAAATACTGCCAGCAGTACTTATAGAACGAATTGGTGATTGGTGAGCATATAGGATTATACATTATACTGTATGAGCTGAGACTTTCAGATATTTCCAAAGATAATATTTCCTAAAAGATAAATGTTTGAACTTGAACTCAGCCTGGGGACATCTGTTTCTAGACCAGAAGTTTGCTCCATGAAATGTGATCCGGGCACCGGAGCTCATGCCTGTAATCTCAGCCACACAGGGAGGCTGCCATCTGAGAATCACAGTTCAGAACCAGCCTGGGTTTAAAAAAAAAAAAAGAAGTCAGTGAGACTCTTATCTCCAATGAACCAGCAAAAAGCCGGAGGTGGAGCTGTGGCTCAGTTGGTGGCAAGCCAGCCTTGTGTGTGAGAAACTAAGTGACAGCAGCCAGGCCCTGAGTTCAAGCCCCAGGACCGGCAAGAAACATATATGACAGGCTTCCATTGCTTTTGTCTTTCAGATCTGCAGGAGCAAAGCCAAGGAGTCGCAGCAGTACTACCACAGCCTGGCGGTGCGCCAGAGCCTGGCCGTGCACTTCAACATCCAGCAGGACTGCGGCCACTTCCTGGCCGAGGTGCCGGCGCGCCTGCTCCCGTGGGAGGACCCGGCCGAGCCGGCGGACCCGGCGGCCCGGGGCCT